AAATACTTACACTGTCACTTTTTATTCTGCAAATGTCCAAAAATCACATTTCATTAACAATTAATCAAAACCCAATCTTTATGCCAAGCAAAACCCTAAACATTACCACACAATACCTGCGAAATATCTTAACATAAAAACCCCTGACAACACACTAGTTTAAAATCAAACATTAGGGAAGAAATTACCATGGGATCATAGATTGGGCATCCAAAAAACCTTCGACCAGGATTCTTTTCGCTCCAAGACATGATCCTCGGAGCCTTCAAACCACAATAGCAAAACAGACTTGGCCCCTCATAATCATACTCATGTCTTCCAAATTCCACCAGTGCTGAAGTGTGAGAGTTGCTGGAGCTAGCCATTGAACAAGTAAATGAAATGGGTGTGAATCTGAAGATCAGAGAAGAGAAGGAAACTCAAAACTCTTTGTGCCCTAGGGATCATTTAAATAGATTTCTTTGCATTCATCTGTCTTTTTCTTTTCTTTTTTTCAAACCTTTAGTCAGCGGTGGGGCCCACTAATAAAATTGGTAGCAGGTAGACTTCCCGCTCATGGTGGTCCAAGTTGGCATGCCAAGTTGTCAAAAAAGTCTGAGGTGGCGCTGACATGTGCATACTTGATGGAGGCCAACGGTGCACGTGCAACACGTGACGCCCCGGCGTTAAATTTTGCCTCATTTCCTCAAACTTGAAAATATGGAGGGTAAAAATCCATGTATTGTAATATGGAGGGTAAAAATCCTCAAAATCGAAAAGTTAAGGGGTAAACGGGTACCTTTTGCCCCAGTTGGTTTGGGGAGGAGAAGATTCTATGATAGATCCATAAATTAGAAAGAAGAATTAGAAAGAGAATCAAGAGAAATGGATTCAAGAAGAAGAAGAAGATAGAGATTAGAAGGGAGAATCAAGAAGGAGATAAAAGGAAGAGGAAAATCTATTTGTATTCATCAGTCAATAGACTTTGAGTTACAAAGCCATCCCTTATATAAGGGCAATTACAATTATAGGCCTCAACAGACTCCTTAACAAACGAACCCATATTTCCGGCTTAGCACAGATAAATGGACTGTAACAAATGCCTCCCTCTCTAAAATCCTTGTCCTCAAGGATTAGGATGAAAATCTGGAAACCTAGCGAGGATGTCAGCACTAGTTTCCCAAGAAGCCTCCTCAGCAGTACACCCCTTCCACTGAATTAACCACATAGTAACAGGTTTCCCATGACAATTTTGCAACCTTCTCTCTAGAATTTTGTCAGGAAGGAGATGTTGCCCATTATGAACCAATGGATCAGGGAATTGGGAAGTTACTGGTGCATTTCCCACTTTCTTCTTCAACAAAGAAACAAGAAAGACATTATGTATCCCGGCATTTTCTGGCAATTGCAACTTGTAAGCCACTGGACCAACCTTCTAAAGTACCACAAATGGTCCACAATACCAAGGAGATAACTTATGAGTCCGAGATTGCAACAAACTCGATTGCCAAAATGGTTGAAGTTTGAGATAAACGTGCTCCCCCACCACAAATTCCCTATCAATTCTATTTTTGTTTGAAAGTTGCTTCATTCTATTCTGTGTTCTTGTCAAATGAAATTTGAGCAATTGTAAAGCTCGCTCCCTTGCCAGTAGAGTTCTGTCAACTACTTCAAAGTTGGAATCCCCAAGAAGGTATGGAATGTGCATAGGAGCAGACTGACCATACAAAACCTCATAAGGTGTGGTTTGGATAGCTGAATGGAAACTGGTATTATACCAATATTCCGCCAAAGGAAGCCACGATGACCATTCTTTAGGAGATTCACCACACATACACCGTAAATATGTCTTCAAACAACGATTTACTACCTCTGTCTGCCCATCAGATTGGGGGTGGTATGTAGAAGACATATGTAATGAAACCTTGCATAACTTGAACAGCTCCTTCTAGAATAAATTGGTGAATACTGGATCCCTATCACTCACAATCACCTTAGGCATGCCATGCAGCTTATAGATGTGGGACAGATAAAGTTGAGCAATCTTCGAGGTAGTATAAGGGTGCATTACTGGTATGAAATGGGCATATTTACTCAACCAATCTACCACAATCATGATGGTAGTATAGCCTTGGGAACTTGGCAAATCGTCAATAAAATCCATAGAGACTTGTTCCCAAACTCGATGAGGTAGAGGCAATGGTTGTAAAAGACCAACTAGGTGAGTGGGTTCATACTTGTGTAATTGACAAGTGTGGTAGCCTTGAATAAAATTTCTAATATCCTTCTTCATGCCTTTCCAATAAACTAATGAAGACAGCCTCTGTGTAGTGGCTAATACTCTTGAATGCCCCTCTATAGCCTCAGCATGTATCATTTGCATTAACCTGGTCCTTAGTTGCATATCATTACCCACCATCAACTTTCCTTTTCTTCTTAACTGGTGATCCACAAAGGAATATTTCCCATCATTGTTACTCTTGGTTTGCAACATGGTCATGAGCTGTTGTAGCCTTGGATCCTTATACCAAGAATTCTAGATCTCAACCAACAAAGTAGTAGAGATAAAAGATAAGATCATTAAAGATATACTCGCACTAGACACACGAGATAATGCATCAGCTGCATGATTCTCTGCCCCTTTCTTGTATCGGATTTCATAATCATACCCCAAAAGTTTAGATAGCCATTTTTGTTGTGTTGGTGTAACAATCCTTTACTCCAGCAAGTATTTACGACTATGGTGGTCCGTCTTAATAACAAAGTGCCTCTCGACTAAGTAAGGTCTCCATTTAGTCACTGCCAATACTAAAGCCAATAGCTCCTTCTCATTAGTAGACAGACCCTGATGTTTTGGAGCTAAGGCCTTACTTAAAAAAGCAATTGGATGATTATTCTGCATGAGTACTGCTCCTACACCACTGCCGGATGCATTAGTTTCAATCACAAACTCCTTTTGGAAATTAGGTAGAGCCAAAACTAGAGTACATGTCATAGCCTTTTTCAACTCTTCAAAGGCTTCCTATGCTGCTTGACCCCAAGTGAAGCTATTCTTTTTGAGTAAATTGGTGAGGGGTCTAGAAATCAACCCATAATTTCTGACAAATCTTCTGTAATACCCTGTCAACCCAAGAAACCCTCACAGTTCCTTTACATTTCTAGGCACAGGCCACTCCTTCATAGCTACAATCTTATTTGGATCTGTGGCCACCCTTGGGAAGATATAATATGGCCCAAATACTCAATCTGCTGCACGCCAAAGGCACACTTACTCAACTTAGCAAAAAATATATGCTGCCGTAGAACTTCCAGTACAATTTGCAAGTGCTGCAAATGTTTTTCCCAAGTTTGGCTATAAATCAATATATCATCAAAAAACACCGAACAAATTTCCTTAAGTACTACTGAAAAGCAAAATTCATTGTTGCTTGAAAGGTGGAAGGAGCATTAGTAAGGCCAAAAGGCATCACTAAAAATTCATAATGCCCCTGGTGTGTCCTAAAAGCAGTTTTATGAATATCGACTTCCTTCATCTTGATTTGGTGATAACCAGACCTCAAATCAATTTTGGAGAAATATTTGGCCCCATGTAACTCATCCAACAATTTTTCAATCACAGGCATAGGAAACTTGTCCTTCACAATAGCTTTATTTAGTTCCTTATAATTGATACACATTCTCTAGGTACCATCCTTTTTTTTAACCATTACCATTGGCGAAGAAAAAGAACTGGTACTATTTTTTATCACACCAGACTGCAACATTTCACTCACTATATGTTCCATAGCATCCTTTTGGATGGAAGAGTACCTGTAAGGCCTGATACTAATGGGTTCTGTACCTATCTTCAATGGATCTGATGATCCAAACTTTTGGAAGGAGGTAATGATTTAGGTTCATCAAACACCTCTGAAAATTCCTCCAACAACTTCCTTAAATCGACAGACTTCTCAGCAACCCCAATGGCATTAAGGCTACATATAGAGTCAACCTTTGATATTACCCGTACCAGGAAATAATCACTTCTATCATCTTGCTCCTTCTTCAACAACAAGGACAACAACTTATCATTTTCAACCCATTTAACAGCTGGTTTGTGGGCAGCCTCTATGTGAACTAATTGGCTCTTATACTTGAAGTGCAAAGTTCGAAGTTTAAAGTCCCATAGGACCTGACCAAGAGGTTTTAGCCACTGTATTCCGAGGATAAGGTCATATTCCCTCAATGGCAACAACATCACTTCAGCAGTAAACACATGCCCTTGGACTTCCCATTCAAACTTGTCACACTTCTCAGCCCCTATTATCTTGCTACCATCAACCAAAGTGACTTGATAAGACTTTGCTCCCTTTATCTCACACCCTAACTCTTTGGCTAGCTTAGCATTAAGGAAGTTATGGGTACTTCTTGAATCAATCAATATCAAAATTTGCCTTTTGCCCACTTGACCTATCACCTTGATAGTATTATAACCCACCTCACTAGTCAATGCATGGATTGAGATCTGTGGCTCTGTGATAAGCATCTGATTAAGATCAAAATTCTTATCATTAGTTTCTACACTTTCAGCATCTTCATCTATAGAAATTATCTCCAGGTTATAGAGTTTCTTCTTGCTACATCTATGCCCTGGACCATACCTCTCATCACACCAAAAGCACAACCCTTTCTGCTTCTTATCCTCTAATTCAGCCTCAAACAAGCTCTTGACATTCCTTGGTCTATTCTTAGCTATAGTCGATATTAGAGGGTTGTTACTAAGGTTGATTGGTGAAAATTTAGAGGAATTTGGAAGTGGTAACCTCTGTGAATCTAGAGGCAAGGGCAGTAAAGGGGGTAAGCTTTTAAGGGATGGCAATGGAGCCCAAACCTTCTTCAATATGGAGTTCACAGACAGTTCCTATTGTTTCGCCATAGCGTAAGCCTCTACCACAGAGTTTGGGTTATAACAGGTTATTGCATGTTGGATCTCCTCTTTTAAGCCACCCATAAACATAGCCATAGATTGTCTCTCAGAACACTTAACTTTGGCTCTAATCCTTTCAAATTCCTTCTCGTAATCACTAACACTACCAGTCTGATTAAGGTTCTTCCACAAGACAATGGGATCCTACAACTCACCTTCCCCAAACCTCAAACTCATGTCAAAGATGTAGTCCCTCTAGCCTGGAAAAGTTGCCTTATCTTGCATATAACACTCATGCCACACAATTGCATCTCCACATAGGTACATTGATGCAATTTCCACCTTATGCTCATTAGAAATGTTATGAGCCTTAAAGAACCGATTACATTTATACAACCATCCCCTAAAATTATCTGTTCCATTGTAGCTAGGAAAATCAACTTTACCAAACTTAGTCATACTAGCTACAGGATCACTTGGAATGGGGTTTTCAAGAGATCTTACAATGTAAATCGGTTGACACGCCTGTCCTTGGGAAGCTTGATTGCTTTCTGGTGGTCCTGCACCTCTTTTGGTTGACACGGCTTGCAAGACTTTAGCAATTTCTTCCCTCAGAGCGTTCTCCATGGATGTCATCCTCTTGTCCAAGCTAGCCACATCCGCATCGTGTTTTCTTTGGAACTCAGAAAGGTCCCAACACAATTCTTGGAGCCTCGTGTTCTCTACCATAGCTACCACAGGTCAAGAAGATCGAAGCTCTGATACTAATTTGATAGATCCAAAAATTAGAAAGAAGAATTAGAAGGAGAATCAAGAGAAACAAATTCAAGAAGAAGAAGAAGAAGAAGAAGAAGATAAAGATTAGAAGGGAGAATCAAGAAGGAGATAAAAGGAAGAGGAAAATCTGTTTGTATTCATCAGTCAACAGACTTTCAGTTACAAAGCTGTCCCTTATATAAAGGCAATTACAATTATAGGCCTCAATAAACTCCTTAACAAATGGACCCATATTTCCAACCTAGCACAAATAAATGGACTGTAACATTTTGGAAGAAGAGAGGGAAGGCTTGGGTGAGGAAGAAGAAGAAGGTTCTGGAGAGAGAACCCAATGGTTGACTGGGGAGAAAGAAAAAAGAATTTAAGCCTTTGTCCTTTTTTATTTTTTATTTTTTGGCTTTTGGGTTTTTGGTTTTGGGTTTGTGTGGTTTTTGAGTTTTTGGGTTTTAAATGGAAATGGGTTAGTGTTAGGTTGGTTTTTGGTTTTAATGGGCTAGATTTATAGCTTAAAAGATTTCACCCCCAACTTTTGATCTCTTCAATTGAGTCTTTTCTTTCCTCTTCCTTTTTCAATTTTCTTAGCAAAAATCTCCTTTTTTTTCCTCATGAACCTAACAAGGCAAACAAAGACAAAACATATTAGTTAAAATAAAAATAAGGCTAAAATAAAAATAAAAATAAAAATAAAATTCTATTAAAAATTTGAGTTATGACACACCTTTCCACAAGGTATGTGTTTGCTTGTTCATTTCGTGCTATGTAGGCCTTACCCCCGACAACGTTTGTCTGTGGCTCACAACCATAGTAAAGCAATTAGCAACTCATTTAATGTATATAGGTAAGGGAGAATTATAAGGTAAATACAATTATTTTTGCACATAATTTAATACATTTATATATTCTTACTTGCCATCCTTTACTTATGTACATCAAAATTCATAGATCTAGTAGTATGGCTCACCCTATCCGCTGACACATAGTTTTTTTTCCCTTTCTTGCTGAGATTATCAAACTCATCAGAATCCCAATATGCATACAAGTTTGGCCATAGGTGCTCAAGCACTCATATTGGCCTATAGTCATTGTTTACCCTCCACTTATCCCGCCCGCCCTTCATGTTATCTAGCCATCTTTTCTTTGTGAAATTTAAGAATGGCTTTCTCACCGTGTTGTCATCTTGTAGTTGCCACTAATATTCTACCTGTAACGACATAGAAATAAATTATTTTCAAATATATCAATAACCCATACCATAACAACACAATATGTACACATTATCCTTTTTTTAGTATGCCTACTTTGCCTTTTATACATTTGATTTTGCCAATTTTGCCCTTTTTTAATACTAATTTCTAGGTTTAAATTTTATATATATTAATGTTGAATTTCTACCTTGGTATTATTGATAATTTGATGAGTTTTATAAGATTTTACTTGATTTTATATAATTTTCATTCATTCAGTAAGAAGAACTTAATTGAAAGAAATTATAACTTTTAAGGCCAAATTAAACAAATTGTGTTGTTATGGTATCAAGGAACTTGCTGACATGCTCCACAGTGTTGCCCTTTCTCCCATTATATTGTGAGAATGCAGGACTTTCATATTTCTTTGGGTATGGTTTAGACAGAATCTCCTTTGGAAAAGTTGGGTCACGGACAAGCTGGAAAAGGATTGTCCCATGTCAAGATCACTTCTTATCCAAGAGAGCAGTGAGGTCTACCATGGTGACGAAACCTTGGGTAAAATCAGCTACATAGGGTAGAGCTCCATCAGTATTGGAGGTTGCAACTACTAGTGGTGTCGAGTTGTTTGCCCGTACAAAAAACCTCCATTATTGTCGATAGCACCAATATAGACTTCTTGTGGCTAGGACGTCCCCGCCATATTGATTGGTTATGCTGGATCCTGCACAGCATGTTGAGTCTGTATGTTGGTGAGGAGCTTAGTAGTCCTTTGCTGGTCTTCGTGCAGGACCTGGATAACTTGAACTAGGGATGCAAGGCTGGGATCGGTGATTCCTTGTAAGAGGTCATTAAAAACATCTGTTGATGGACGCGGCTGTTGAACTTCCCATCCATCATCCTAGCCAAGCTCTTGATTCCCATCAACAATGCAAGATGAGGTTGCTCTCATGATAGGCATGGCCAGAAAAATTCTGTTGAAGATAAATGAATATTGTTGAGGAAGAATATTGGTGATCGTATACCGTTGAAGAAGAGCAAAACAAGATGAAGCTCTAGGATGACTTCCCCAGTGGAGTCGCCATTTTTTGATGGGGTATGCTAGCGATGTAGGATGATGAGTCAATAGTGGAGATGATGTGGAGGTTGACTAGGATGCCACTCAGCGAAAAATAAGGAGGGTCCTTTTGGCAGCACTCGTTTTATGTGAAAAAGGCTATGTGTTACAAGCCATCTCATTCTGTCCAATGATGATAATCTGCAGTGAACTCTCTAGAAAAGTTAAAAAATATAAATCTTCTAGCCAACCTGATAGAGCTAGACAGTGATGATGGAGGCTAAAGAACTTAGGATGATTACACAACTATAAAAAATGATGGGAAGAGGATGTAAATTGTGCAGTAAAGATGGAAAATATATAACCAAAGATTACAACTTGGGAATCACCTTCATACATAAAACATTGTGACAAAATAATAATGGCAATAAATGTGACCTCTATCATTTCTAGTGAATATCTTCACTATATAACGAATAACTCTCATGTTGAAGATGAAGAATGCAACGGTTCCCCTCTTGAAATTCTTTCAAGGATGAAAAGGGATAAACTTAGAAGTGGTGATGGAAGAAAGATGGATGACCACTTTGGGGGCTCATGAGTGGAGTACTCACTCCTGTTCTTGATGTTAACCTTGTAGCTTCATCTTTTGATGCTTAAGAAAACTACTAAGAAACTAAAACCACATCATGTTACCTCCCAGCCATGATGTTTTGTAAGTCTGGAAAATATTTTGCAGTGCTGGAAGTGTAGAACATATGAGAAAAATGGTGATTTCTGGGTGACTTTGGTGTTTAAGGTGGTAGGTTGAGGATGAGGAAGTTTTCAACAGGAAAATAGAAGTCTGGTACGTGAGGAGGCAAGTTGGAAGTGGAAAATTTGTTCTTTTTTTTTTTTTTAAATGAAGGAAAAGTAATATATATAAGCGTAGTGGCCATTTTTTTAATTTTTGATTAATGGGTTAGAGGTGTATAGATGGGTTTGGCTGAGTTGTCAAGCTTTGAGTGGCTTTGAATACTACTAACAGCCTTTTGGTAGTGATATTATGAATTACCCAATGGTTTTGACGAAGCTTTGCTGGTTCCGGTGATGGATTGGAAGTTGCCTATCTCTAGAAATTCCTCTAGCCATACGAAATTCCATTTTTGCGGAGGTGCTTTAGTGTAGCTAGCAAAAACAACACCTGCACAGGATTTCATGGGCTCCCCAAGCTCTACACAGAATTTTGGAAGATTTTCCAAGCAAAAAACAATCTTTTTCAACAATTTTCAAGTCCATGAAACTTGTGCAGCCACCTTTACATTGAATGTGGTGGCAAGTTGTTGATGGTAACCAAAACAGCATCTCTGGTTGGTTTTTTACGGGATTTCATGCCTCTAGTTAGCATCAAAGGGTACTGTTTCAAGAGTTAAGTTTACTTCCGGGTCTTCGCCACCCAGCCCTTTCTGGTGAAGTAGGGCAACATCACCAATGCCAAGCTTTGCCAACACGACTGCCTTGCTTCACCAGATGGCCAACGTTCATCTATCCATGCTTGCTAAGCCACTATTTCCATAGTTTATCCCAAGTAATTCCCATGAGCTTGGATGCATGGGCTTATGCTTATCTACAATGACAACAAGGATCATGTGAATATATGTTCAAATATTTATGTTATACCTATGATTTTGATGATTACAAAACACATTTGAGTGACTAATTGGTTTATTTAAGTGTGTAGTTAAGTTGCTAAAAGATTGCAAGTAAACTTGGATTGCACTAAAAATAGACCAAAAGGATTCAAAATGTGTAGAAAGCCGGCTCTTAAAAGCTGCAGCCGGCTCTGGTGAAATGGAAGTGCAAAGAGCTGGCTCTGGAAGTTGCAACCGGCTCTACAAGCAAAAATTTGAAGACCGTTGTTTGGCACGCGCGGAGAAAAGACGCAAAGCCAGCTCCAACTTTGCAGCCGGCTGTGAGGGTGCATTTAATTAACAACGGTCGACTCTTTTGAATGTATTTAAAATCGGAATTCCAAAGCCGACTCAAAGTCTTGCAGCCGGCTCTTGAGGAAAACAGAATGGCCTGCAAACCCGGATAGCTGGCTTTGGAAGTGTAAGCCGGCTGTGTAGAGCCGACTCTAAGAAGTTAAGCCGGGTCTCCTGATAGTTCTGCAACTTGAGCCATGCGTCCTGCAGAGCATTTAATGACCCCCAATGGCTAGAAATGGCTATATTTGAGCAAGGGGCTATAAATATGATTGGTAACAGATATGAAGTAGTGAGGAGAATATAACATTGCATATCTTTACCTACCTACTTGAGCTTAAACTTGAGTTTTTGATCTTTGAGTGATCATTGCTTGTAATCCTGTTCTTGTGCTATTAGTGAGTGATCTTGGGGGTGTGTTGATTCCTTCAAGAGTGATCTATTGAGAGGATTTGTAGGGTTTACATTGTAAAGGGGTGAGGTTTGAGACACATACTCATCTTCTTGTAAAGGATTGAGTGGCTCCTTTAAGCCACCATTGTTTTTGTTAGTAGAGAGTGTGGAGGAAATCCTTGGTGAATGAAGCCAAGGTAAAGGATTAGGCTCCAAGTGGTTGGACCAGACCTCTATAAAATCATCGTGCAAGCTCTTCTTCTCAACTCTCTCTTTAATTTTTGTTTGGTGGTTGCAAAGAGGTGAAAATTCTCCAACTCCAATTCACCCCCCCTCTTGGAGTGCATTGAGTCAACAATTTAAGCATAAGAAATATATAAATATATGCAGCAAAGAAGGGAACTCCCTTATGTATTGAAGGGGACGATGTGTATGGATGTTTGTTTTGCCCTTTTATTTGCTGGCCATGGCGAGTGCTAGTATATCACTGCTATACATTGTTGGCATTATGCCAAAGTAAAGAACAAGTGATATGGGTGTGTGTTGTG